ACACCTCCAGGGATGGGGTCTCCACCACCTCTCTGGGCAGCCTGTTCCAATACTTCACAACCCTCTCTGTAAAGAAATTCTTCCTGATATCCAACCTAAATTTCCCCAGGCATAACTTGAGGCCATTCCCTCTCATCCTGTCATTCATAATGTGGGGGAAGAGACTGACCCCCATCTCCCTACAACTTCCTTTCAGTTAATTGTAGAGAGCGATAAGGTCCCCCCTGAGCCTCCTCTTCTCCAGACTGACCAGTCCCAGCTCCCTCAGCCGCTCCTCATAGGACAAGTTCTCTAAACCCTTCACCAGTTTTGTTGCGCTTCTCTGAACCCGCTCCAGCACCTCAACGTCCTTCTTGAAGTGAGGGGCCCGAAACTGGACACAGCACTCCAGGTGTGGCCTCACCAGTGCTGAGTACAGGGGCACAATCACTTCCCTGCTCCTGCTGGCCACACTCTTTCTGATACATGCCAGGATTCCTTTGGCTTTCTTGGCTGCTTGGGCACACAGCTGCTCATGTTCAATCGGCTGTCGACCAGCACCCCCAGGTCCTTCTCTGCTGTGCAGCTTTCCAGCCACACTTCCCCAAGCCTGTAGCGCTGCAGGGGGTTGTCGTGGCCCAAGTGCAGGACCCGGCACTTGGTCTTGTTGAATAAGCACAAGAGAATAAGCACATAAGCACAAGGGAACCATTCAAGTAACTAAGGAAAGTCATTCTTATATGGGCTATCTGAAATATGTATTTCTTAATAATTTAGCTCAACAAACAAGTCATGTTACCATTCCATCACAGTTTTCTCATGATTGGCTTTAGAAATGTTTAAGCCCTCGAACACTACAAATCACCTCAGGGACATTTCCATCTGGACAACTCATAATACAATCACAATTCAGCACACTGTGAGCATCTAAACTCCTCTGCCCAGATGGTGCCATAATCTTTACTAACCCAGACTGCTTTCATATCTACTCAGTGAGTGACAAAATATCTTCAGAATATGGATGGTTTTGCTAGCTCTCTTAGCTTTACTCTTCTAAATGCTACTTTACCAACAAGTATTTTTAGATACTTTCATTAATCATTTTAGTTATTGGTAACTCTAAGGGAGTGATGGGTGACATACTAAGATGGATATCTAAACAGTTCAAATTGTCCATTAAATGGAAAAACTCCTGTTCCACTGAAAAGAGAAGCAGCTAAATAAATATATTTTATTATAGACATCTAAATTTTGTATGGCTGAAGTAAGGTGTAATATTTCCCTCTTAGAGCAATCAGGACCACCAAGACTTTGGGTACATTTTGTCTTTTTTCCTGAACTTTATCATCCCAACAGTGGGAGCTGTTTCTGACAACAAGCACTGTCATCATCCACATTTGAAATATTGGTGCTGGCTACTAACTGTTAGACAGAGAAAACCAAACAACAAAAGAAACCTCAGAAAACAAAACACAATTTTCTGAAGGACATTCAGTGAAGAGAACATGTTGTGCAATGAAAGTGTCACCATTATGCTGATACCAAGTGCTATTCCTTTCTGACTAGCAGTGCAATGTGTAAGGACTGTGGTAACCGATAAACTTGTTGATATGAAGCCCGTGGGACAACTGGAGGAGGATGTGAAATATGCCTCTTGGATGAAGGATTCATTTGTAGTTCATAAACAAGGAACACATCTTCCAGTAAATGTAAAGCTTTACAATGGAGTCCCAAAAAAGGTCAAGATGGCATTATTGCTAATTACAATTCGCAAGAGATAGGGTGTGGTTTTTCACTATAGTGAAATTCTACTGCTGGTAGAACTGGGTGTGGATTGCTGGGGAATTTTCTTGTGTGAAATCTAATGATACTCCTTATTTCCTCTGTTTGCAGCCAAACGACCAATGATTTTGGCAGGAACTTACGCACATAAATACAAATTATGCACCTGAAGCCCTCTAACTTGTTTAAATGAGTCCTGTGGCTGCTGAATCACACACAGGTGGTGAATTCACTCACTTGAATTAACTTTATCATAAACCAGACTTCTAAGAGAAGAGAAGTCCTATTAAGCTGTCTGTGTACCTCCAATGATGAGAGGAAAATTCGCGTTTGCATAAATGGTTCAAAGTAAGTAAAATAAGATGAGAAAAATCTCTGTTTAGCGGTATTTATGTTTTGAAAGTCATGTATATTATCTCTTTTTAGCACAGTTTTATTTGTTTGTTTAATAAATTAATTAATATCTAGTGGGGAATATGTTGCACAAACAGAGAATACTACATTTTCTGTTTCTGTCAATAGATCTGTTCAGTTTGTTCCACTGACTGTTTATTGACCATCAAAGAAGTACAGTGTAAAATTAATTTCTTACATTTTATCCACACACTTGTAAGAGAGAAGAATGTTAATCTAACATAAAACTGATGTCAGTGATGTGTGCATGTATATCTGTACTAGTCTGCCTAGACCGTGAACATGGGTAGTTCATGAAAGCAGTAATTTCTAGAATGTGGGTCATTTGACACTTCAAACATCATCCTCATGCAATCAGATAATTATGCCCTAGAAGTGCTTGTTTCTCCTCACTGATTATGAAAGTTTAGACAGTTTGCTCAAGTATAAGTATCTAAATATGGACAAATTAATTTCACTTCATTCCCAGTGAATAAAATGAAAGGAAAACTCCTTATTTTTGCCACAGTAAGCCTGTGAACCTGTCCTGTCTGAGACATAAGCAGAGTATAATTCAACATGTTCTTTGGTCGATATATTCTCAATGTGTTGACAGATAGGTCATGGCTGAAAAAAAAAACAACAGATAGAATCAATATATGGTAGGAGAATTCATTCTTCTGGAATTCCCTGGCAACCAGAGTTTGTCCATCACCCTCTTTCTGCTCTTTTCATAACATACATGCTAACAGTATTGGTAAATATGACCATCATGGTGCTAGTGTGGGTCTATCCATTCCTGCAGAATGTACTGCTTTCTTGCCAACCTCTCCTTTCTGCAGATCTCGTACACTACTACAGCTTCTGTGTCCAAAGCCCTTGGAGTATTCCTTGGAAAGAATCCGTCTCCTTCATCAACTGCACTTTGTAGGTGTAATTCATCTTCTCTTTAGGCTATATGGAATGTGCTACCTTGGCTGTCATGCTTATGGTTGCTCTCTGGCTATAAACTACCCTTTATGCAACAGTCTCCTTGCGTACAACGCCTTGTGCACACAGCTGGCCCTTGGCTCCTGGACGTTCAGTTTCCTGGATGTCACTATCCCAGCCTCTCTAACCTCCACCTCATTCTTCTGTGGCCCCAACATCATCAAACCACCACCTCCCCTTTTTTTGTGTGTGTGTCACAGATTCATGGATTTTTTTCTCCTTTTCTTACACTCATTTTTGTCACCCTCTCCACACCCATACTTGGCTCTTTAGAGGTAACATTCATATCCTATGTCTATACCATTTCCACTGTCTTGGGGATCCCACGAGCCCAAAGTTGGCAAAGAGCTGTGTACATGCATAGCTCGTCTTACTGTTGTAATTTTGTGGTATAACTCCACCATCTTTCTGTACATCAGGTGCATCTGTACATCTGTATCATCAGACTTCTCTGATTTGAACAAAATTGTGAATACCCTCAATACTGTTGTATTGAATCTTTTCATTTGCACTCTCAGGAACACAGAGATGAAGAAAGCCTTGAGAAAAGCATTAGGTGGACATGACAATGCCTTAAAACAATTGTAGACAAAAGTAGATGAAATAACCATAAGTGTATAATGCAGTGTTTTACTGTACGCATTCGTCAGTGATATTCCTCTTCCCTGTCTTTAAATGTTAGAGAAAACATCTACCTCTGAGCTAACTGCTCAGGTTCTCTTTACAGTCACTGCAAAGAAGGACCATTAGTGTGTGTATTTGATCATGTGTGTTTTAGATATTATTTCTGTGATATGCATCAATTAAATATGCATCAATTAAATATGTTCTAGAAGTTCTTTTTCTCTCTGCTGTGTATGAGGAGATTTTTGCTCAGCTGCAGGTAGTTGCATTTGATCAGATTAATGCCATCCATATAATATTCTTATCTAATTGACAAAATTCCCTGCAAGGCAAAATGTCTGCATCAACCTTCTGGTAAGAAAAGAAAGATTTCTTCTCTGCCAAGGTCTAGTAGTTAGCATTCTGGAGTCCTGTCAAGTTTTTTTTTTTTCCTTACGAGAAAAAAACATTGTTCATCTGATGAAGAAGAATCACATGCATCACTTAGTCTGAGGTTTTTAAATATATGTCATCTCCAAATACCACAATCAAAATACAAAATTAATTGTTGATTTGGAAGTATCACTTTTGCTTATGAGATTGATAGCCTGTTACAGAGCTTAAGTAAAATTTTGTTTTACTGAAATTTTGTGTCTGTCTTGGAAATTGGCTCACCAGTGTCTTAACTGCATGGAAGATGTAGAGTTTTTACATGAAAAGCAGGATTCATCTAACATTGGATATCTACAATGTACATATTTCTCAAGTCTTTTATAGATAGTGAAGAGAGCTCCCTTCAGAGAGCCATTATTTTAATCCAAAAAAGTGCAGTTAAGACAAGCCGCACAACTCTCTACATATTTTTTCTGTATAATGACTCTAGATAGATTTAGATTTCTAAATTTGAAATTAGACATAGATTTAGGCAGATGAGTGTTACATTCAGTTTCATATGGAGTCACAAGTCTTTCAGAATCCAAGGTCAAAAACATTTCAAAATGCTGGAGCACCTCTGCTATGGAGAGAGGCTGAGAGAGTTGGGGTTGGTCAGCCTGGAGAAGAGAAGGCTCCGGGAAGAGGAGGTCTTCCAGAGCCTAAAGGGGCTACAAGAAAACTGGAGGGGGAACATTTTACAAGGACGTGTAGTGATAGGACAAGGGGCAATGGATTTAAACTGAAAGAGGGGAGATTTAGATCAGATATAAGGAAGAAATTCTTCCCTCTGAGGGTGGTGAGGCACTGGAACAGGTTGCATAGGGAAGTTGTGGCTGCCCCATCCCTGGCAGTGTTCAAGGCCAGGTTGGAAGAGGCTTTGAGCAACCTGGTGTAGTGGAGGGTGTCCCTGCCCATGGCAGGGGGGTTGGAACTGGATGATCTTTAAGGTTCCTTCCAACCCAAACCATTCTATAATTCTATGTTTCCATGATATTTTAGTTTCTTTCCATGTGCTTCCCCAGGATTGTGTGACATGTCCTATTTAAAGATGTAAAAACAGAACAAAAGAGAACAGAGAATAAACATTTAACAAAACACCCACAATCAGCCCTCTGTTGTCATGTTCCTTCTGGATAAGCCTTATAATGATTATCTATTGCATTTTGAAAAAGAATAGCATATAACAGACAGCATTTATCAGATAAATAAAATTAATTAACATTGTTACAATCTGTTTCAGAGAAGTAGATCATAAGAATTATATTACTTATTACACAGAGAGTATAATTACACTACGGCATGTAGCATGTAGTCCACTTTTTCACCATACCTTATATTTCAGACAACCATTTTCTTTGTGTCTTCTGAAGAAAATCTACTGAAAATACTGGTACCCTGCATAAGTTCTGTTCATGATGCATCATGAACTAGTTCTCTGCAGTCTTTGCAGATTACTATTGGAGTTCATGCATGATAGAATCATAGAGTGGTTAGGGTTGAAGAGACCTTAAAAAACATCTAGTTCCAACACTCACTGCTTACCACCTCTGATATCTCTTGGGAACAAAAGGAGGTATGTTCCGTGTATGATAGGAGTTCATATTTTTAGTTCCTGTAGAGTCACATTTCAGTGCCTGGATACAGGCATCTTAATCTCAAACTGAATTCCAGACAGGTGTGATATTCCTGTAATTCAGACACAAATAGACAAGTGAGCTTTTATTTCATTCTGTCTGAATTGCCTCACATAATCCTATCTCTGCAGCCTGCCAAAACACCAAAATTTTAATATGATGCTTCTAAGGGTAGGTGGAAGGTGAGAGCATCTGCTTCATTAGGATTATCTGATCAAGGACCTTTTCAATGCAAAAGTAGAGGGAGAATCTATAAACAAGAACACAGAGACACAAACCAGGTAGACAAAAGACAATGGAGAGAATGGCAAAGATGAAAAGCCGACAGCTACTAATTAACAGGCCATTAAGAAACTCTATGCACAGCTTTGGAGAATGCCTCCTGGGGATAAACTCAGCATCTGATTTTAACAGAGGAGCCTGTGGGCAGCTCCCACTTGGTACCGCTGATTACACCACCTTCATGGCCTTGCCTTTATCTAACAGTGCAGCAAAAAGTTCTCCTGTGAACATCCTTTCTGTTTGACGGTAGAAATTATGGATATAATTGTTTTATTTTAAATAAATCCTATACTAACTCAAATGACCAAAATGGAGTAGCCCTTCCATTGATGGGGTGTACGTGCCATGCTGCATGGTAATCAGAGGCCCATTTGATGCTTCACAGCTTGGAGTTCCCAGTGTCTGAAGTGGTGCAGCTTTAGCTATACTATCCTCTCCTCTATAACGTTAGCTCTAATAAATAGCTTTTTAAATGATACTTGACATGGTCTGTGTGGCTGTTTTATTAGGATCATAATGATTTAGCAACTCCTGGTGCAAAACATCCTCCTACGCTTCTCCCGTCTTAATGACTAATTTCACATCTGCTGTCTTAGCTTAGCAAAGAAAAAAAGAAGAGTGAAGGGGTAAACTAGGATCCCATGAATCCTCCAGATGGTGACCTACCAGAACCAGAGGAAAATAGGAAAAATAATGAAGTTTTAAAATGACAGGTCTCAAACCAACTTCTCTTTGACCACCCATTTCCTTAACACCCAAGTAGTTTCTTTCATTTCACAATCAACCTTCTATTTCCACAAAAAGGGACATTGTTTTCTTCTACTCTCAATTCAGAAGCCTAAGATAACAATATGGTTACATAAACTTATTGTTTTGACTTTACATGTGAACAATATACAGCAATGGAGATGTCTAAGTAGTTTGTTCCTTACTACAGCAGAAATCCAGTTTAGAGAACATGAACTGTGTTTTTACTTTATTTCACTCCATTCAACACCAGTGGAGAATAGAGTTATGTTGTGGGTTAGGCCACTCCGGCAAACAAACCCTACACAGTCGCTCACTCACCCTCCCCCAGCCCCAGGGATGAGGGAGAGAATCATAGAATCATAGAATCATAGAATAGTTAGGGCTGGAAGGGACCTTCAAAGGTCATCTAGTCCAACTCCCCTGCAAGGAACAGGGATATCTCCAACTAGATCAGGTTGCTCAGGGCCTCGTCCAACCTGGCCTTGAACGTCTCCAGGGATGGAGCATTCACCACCTCTCTGGGCAACCTGTTCCAGTGTTCTACAACTCTCATGGTAAAAAATTTTTTCCTAATATCCAATCTGAATCTACCTCCCTCTATTTTAAAACCATTACCCCTTGTCCTATCACAACAGGCCCTCCTGAACAGCATCTCCCCATCTTTCCTGTAGGCCCCCTTGAGGTACTGGAAGACCGCTATAAGGTCACCCCGGAGCCTCCTCTTCTCCAGGCTGAACAGCCCCAACTCTTTCAGCCTGTCCTCATAGGAAAGGTGCTCCAGCCCTCTTATCATCTTCGTGGCCCTCCTCTGGACCCTCTCCAACTGGTCCATGTCCTTCTTATGTTGGGGACTCCAGAACTGGACGCAATACGAGGTCTCACAAGGGCAGAGTAGAGGGGGAGAATCACCTCCCTCGACCTGCTGGCCACGCTCCTCTTGATGCAGCCCAGGATGCAGTTGGCCTTGTGGGCCACAAGAGCACATTGCCGGCTCATATTGAGCTTCTCGTCCACCAGTGCTCCGAAGTCCTTCTCCTCAGGGCTGACCTCGATCCATTCTCCGCCCAGTCTGTATTTGTGCCTGGGATTGCCACGACCCAGATGTAGGACCTTGCATTTGGCCTGGTT